TTTTTTTGAGATGGAGTCTTTCTCTGTTGCCAGACTGGAGTGCAGTGGCATGATCTTGGCTTACTGCAACCTCTACCTCCCAGGTTCAAGCAACTTTTCTGCCTCAGCCTTCCAAGTAGCTGGGACTACAGGCACACACTACCACGCCGGGCTAATTTTTGTATTTGTAGTAGAGACGGAGTTTCACCATGTTGGCCAGGATGGTCTCGAATTCCTGACCTCAAGCGATCCATCCACCTCAGCCTCCCAAAGTACTGGGATTACAGGCATAAGCCAATGCGCCTGGCCAGGAAACTCCATCTTTAAGATAAATAAATAAAATCAAAAAAATAAAAATACTCAAATTATGTTCAATAAAATGGGATTATTATCATTATTATTGTTATTTAGATGGAGTCTCACTCTGTCACCCAGGCTGGAGAGCAGTAGCACGATCTCAACTCACTGCAACCTTTGCCACCTGGATTCAAGCGATTCTCATGCTTCAGCCTCCCAAGTAGCTGGGAGGGATTACAGCATTGTGCCACCATCCCCAGCTAATTTTTTGTATTTTTAGTAGAGATAGGGTTTCACCGTGTTGGCCAGGCTGTTCTCTAACTCCTAATTTCAGGTGAACCACCCACCTCGGCCTCCCAAAGTGCTGAGATTACAGTCGTGAGCCATCACACCCAGCCTATTGTTATTTTTAAATGAATTAATACATATTTTAAAATATTTTCACTTCAGATTTGCAGTGTGGTTAATGACCAATATAACACATATTAACAAAAGCTCTTTGGGGTCTTCAATAATTTTTAAGAGAATAAAGAATTCTGGGCTGGGTGTGGTGGCTCACGCCTGGAATCCCAGCATTTGGGAGGCTGAGGTGGGCGGATCACAAGGTCAAGAGATCGAGACCAGCCTGGCCAACATGGTGAAACCCCATCTCTACTGAAAATACAAAAATTAGCTGGGTGTGGTGGTGCATGCCTGTAGTCCTAGCTACTTGGGAGGCTAAGGCAGGAGAATCACTTGAACCTGGGAGGTGGAAGTTGCAGCGAGAATCTGTCTCAAAAAAAAAAAAAATAGAATTCTGGAGACTCCAGAATTTGAGAACCACTGCCCTATAGCATTGTATCACTGTCTTTTAAATTGATTTTTTTTTAATTGAAATATAATTTAGTCTGGGTGAGGTGGCTCAGGCCTGTAATCCCAGCACTTTGGGAAGCCGAGGTGGGTGGTTCACTTGAGATTAGGAGTTTTACCTGCCTGGCCAACATGGCAAAATCCCGTTTATACTTAAAAAATACAAAAAATTAGCCAGGCATAGTGGTGGAT